TGTTCCATGTGGAAAATACATGCAAGAGAGTGACCGTGGGCACTCGTACATATTTGTGCTGTAAAACCAAAGGAGGATTAGAATGTACTAAAGAAGGAATGTGCACTTACAGGTATTTTTTAGAACCGGGTACCCGGTTTATGTCAATACGGGGTACCCATGAAATATAAAGATTACTTTACAAATGGTATTGCGCGCAATCCGAGCAGACAATGTGCCTGGAATGGGGCTCCTTTGGTACGTAGGAAGCAGCACATTGTTCTAAACGTTTGAGAGGAATCCTTCCCTACCTTTTTATTATGTGAAATGTTATCTTTAATTTATTCAAAACTGTGCTCCGTTGATATCTGAACCGGAGTTACGACAGTGGGACCGGGTTCTTTTGGTGGCAGGATTATTTTTCAGCTACTCTGCCCTTCACTATTGAAGTTCAGTGGAACGTTGTGCACTTTATACACGGAATTTTTCTGGGTACCTGGCCTGAAAGAACGGAACCAGGTTCTGATATTGACCGGTGGGTACCCAGGTACCCAGCACTGGCCAGTATTAAAAAAAAAAACATTTCGCAACAAAATAAAGTTTTCCACTTCCATTTCACTGATTTGTAGTAATTTGGAAATAAATATTTCAACATTGAACACTGCATCAAATATCTGAGTATTTACCAAAGCCCTTATGGGAACTTACTTCAAGCATTCAACAGCTGTTCAAAAACAAGTTCTAGTTGACCTTGGAGCCAGGGATGGGTGCTTGTTAAATCCTGGTGTGCTGAGTGCCACATGTGTGTATGTCAAGTCAACAAACTCCACGCTGCACTGAAGCTGTTACCAAGACATACATGGACAATAACATTTAATTTGGAGAAATGATTTGCTGAAATTGGCCGACATTTGACATTAATTCCTTTGGGGAAACCGTAGAGAAAAACGGTAAATGTTGAATGAACACAAAGAAGAACAGAATTTTTCACATTCCAAATTTCCCTCACTTAAGTTTAATAATGTTCAAAACCACCAGAAACCTCAATGCTGGAGTGTACGGTCGGTATGTTTACTTTAGTAAGCTGTCTGATACATTTTTATTTATACAAGTAACAAGGCAGAAGGAAAATAATGTGTTGCTGCCATCCAGCTGAACATTTAATTTGTAGTAATCAGGTTTTGAAAACTAACCGTCTAATTGCAAAAATCACCTAACTGAACCACTGAGCGAATAGCTTACATCGACTGGTTAGCTGAGTACACGTAGCTCCACTACATACAGTGGGAGGGGAATTCCCTCTGTAATCCATCGTCCCCCTTTCTGTGCCACACTGACACAGATCACTATGTTTGGGGATCTGACATACATGTAACCTGGCAAAACCGATAGATACAACGTGTTTCTCTCTCTCTACGTGTATATGTAGAGAAGCCACTACAGCCAGTCACATGTCGCATTACTTTTTCAAAATGGTTCATTTTTCTTCTTTTTTTGTGCGTAATTATTTCAGCGATCTTGACCAGTGCTAGTTGCCTGACCGCGCGCGCACAAGCACGACGTGGACACGTCTCATAATGTCACCCCACTGGCGTGTAGGGAAGGCAGCGTTGCCAAAATGGCAAATTAGGTGACGAACACATGACTGAGAAAAATTATTGTTCCAGTTATGCACCTGTTAATTGTAATCCCAGCCCCGGGGGACCCGGTACTAGCGGAGAGTGAGCGGGGAAGATAAAACAGGGCCAGCGTGATAGTCCCGGCCAAGTCCCTGTAATTTGCTCGGCCAGAGCGGGGCACCCTTTTTCGTATTCCCCGGCTGATCCCCGGTTGGTTTTCTTGCTTAAATTTTGTCAAAATTTACCAAAACTAGAGCTACTAGGATTAAGGAATTGTGAAAAAAATGCCTCCGAAGTAATTCCAGAAATTAGTCAAATGACTCTTACTAACAACTAGTCCTCAGTGTAGACCAGCATTTTAGAACGCGTAATAGACAACTGAGCTGCAGCGACCTGAGTCACTCATTCTGACCAGCGAGTTGGATGAACTAAATGTAAATAATTCTTATGAGGTAAATGTGATAGAGATTCCCAGCGATTTCTGAAATAAATGAGATAATTTTGAGTTGTGTTCTGAATACAGAAGCTGTTTCCTCAAGTAATTCTCTTCATGGTTCGTCACTCATTCATGCGTGCACTTGCGCATTTTTTACTAGTTGACTGCTTCTTCTTCTGGCATGTCTGGTGGCGAAACCTTCCTGAGCCTGGACTGCCTTAACCCTTCCCCCGACCCTTCGACCCCGTTATTTTGACACTTTGGATTTCTTCCCCTCTCCCTTGCTCGTCCCCGCCCTTCGCCCACCGTGACCGTGACTGAGACTACTAGCAGGCAAGACAGCCGTAAGTATACGGATATACGCCACTGTTCTCATCACGCTCTGACTCAACGGGCCCCTCACCCGTTACACAATGAATCCTCAAGGTCTGAATGTCAGTTAGTTTGAAAAAGTGGACTTCATTTTCCTTATTACAGGAACAGGGTGCTAATTGTAATGAATGGCCCGCTCACACTTCTTGTGCGCATACGTGCATAATTATGAAATATGAGTCTAGTAGAGGTCTATACCATGCCAATCATACCAAATGCCCGTAATTAAGCTAGCTGTAGGTCTAATCCAAAAGACTCTACAAATCTTGATAGTGATGGCACCTCCGATTTTTTTTTCCAGCTAACCCTTGGGATCGCAAAACACGAACGAGCAGCAATTAGGTTCCACATATACATGTGTTTGTCGCCATCGAAAGAGAACACCAAAAGTAACACAAACGGACCCCCATCTCCTCCGCCTCATTCTTACAGCAGAATTACATATTTATTCGTTTAGTATCATTGTCCAGTACCCTGGTCTAATTTGTGAGAACTAAAGGAAATAAAAATTAAGTGTCAAAAAAGTAAAAACAGCCACCAAAAGCGAGAAAATCACCCCACTTGGTGTCCTGTAATGAAATGATAGCAATGGAATACTGGCGATTCAAATTAACGCACCTCGAAGAGCTTGTAACGAATTGACCAATCACAATGCGCGAAATCTGTCGACCTAATGTGCGTATGGAAATGGTCGACAAATTTCGCGCATTGTGATTGGCGTTACAAGCTCTTGGAGGCGCTCTATTGTGAACCGCCCTTATTGGAAGTGCGTGTATAATAAGCCTCCACATGTACTAGGGTTTTTACTCGCTAGTGATCTTCAGTGGATAGGACTATTAAAGTGACGAATTCACCCGCCAGCCAAACTTACGGCTGGGTACCACACCGTCTTGGGCTTGTCACGGTCATGGCCATTCTTAACCAAGGCTAGATCCAGACCCCCCCCGGGGGGGGCAAAACAGGTAAGCAGCGTGCCGATGCACTTTATGCACGGACCATGAACTCATAACACCAGTCACGGCAGGTGCTCAGTTTCCTGAACAAAACCTCCATTTAAGACATTTGATATCTTCACTCTGATATACAAAAATCCAGGGGGGGCGACATGACCCCCGTTGGGCCCCCGGATCCGTCCAGTGTTCCTAGCCCTCGATAGAGGAAAGCTAACGCCTACCAAATGCAGTCAACGGAACTACATGTACCACTGAGAAAACGGTTCCGGTTCCAAGGAAAATGCAATCTTCATTCAGTGGTCGTCATGTAGGCCTACTTCACGTATATTTTGCACCTATGTGTTTCAATGAACCTCATTTTCGAGTTTGTGTTTCATTACTTTTATCTGTAATTTGCAGCAATCTGGTTCTTCTAATGTGAAGTTACATATTCACGAGCAAAACTGTGACATGTAATCCGAAGCCCTGAACCTCAATGTTGCATCAATTTGTGCACAAAAAAAATTGCAAGACATTTTATAGGCCCACTTCTGGCGTCAGTCAAATATCACTAGTGCTTAGGAGTCTGAATGGTCTGTATTGCTCCGTTTCAGCTACGGGAACCAATGCAACCATAACTATGCGATTTTTGATTTTATTTAACAACATCCATATAGTACAGGTTACAAATGATCATACACAAACAACTGAATTAACTCAAAATAAAAAGAACTACTTATAAATCCAGGGCATTGTCGATGATAGTACAAAAAAGCTAGAAATAGCTTATTTCCATTGCGGTTCTTTATTTCCACCCATTTTGAGCAACGACAAGGAAAACTCACAAGAAACTTTATTTCATATTCACAAACTGACTTATAATCCGAAGGTGAAAAATGACAAGAAATCAACATCCAATGTGGAAAATATACGAATTTTTTTAAAATATTTTTTTCAACTTGAAACCTAGCTGTGGCCCGAAGTTCTCCTGCAGACGACATTCACGATGCAGGCTGCAACAGGTTTAAAGACCCAGAGTTTGAAACAGGTTAGGTGTATTGGCCACGACTGCAAACTGCTATCCCAAACCAACAACTACATGAGTAACAAACACTTTCCGTGGACCCCAGCTTGTTTGTTATAGCGACGTTTATACACATGAAGTTTATTTAGTGTATGGCGCGCGCGCATAAGTGACATTTATTCAATTAAAGTGGTACTTTTTAAATATTTCACGATATCTCGAAATGGATATTAAGATATCAGTAAATCGTTTAGAGATATCTTGAAATCTACCTTAAGATATCTCAATTTCATTTGGAGATATCTTGAAATCCATTTGAAGATATCTCAAATTCATTTCCAGATATCTTGAAATGGATGTACAGATACCTGCAAACTGTTTTTAAGATGTGACAAAAGGATTTAAGATATCTTGAGATTGGATTACAGATATCTGGAAATCCATTTCGAGATATCTGGAAATCCATTTCGAGATATCTTTATATCAATTTCGGGATATCTCTAAATCACTTTCAAGATGGGAGTCAGTTCAGTGGTATGCCAGGTCATTCGGGAACAAAGCAGGATTGGCCACGAAGCATGACAGCTCTTATTGAGCAAATATTTAGAACTCGTATTTGTTATTCCCGAATGACCTCAGAGGCACTCCATTTCGGTCATGGGTTATCGGTTAATGATTTGGAGATATCTGGAATTGATTTAGAGATATCTTCTAAAAGATTTAAAGATATCTTGAAAACGATATCAAGACATCTTGAAATCGACTTAAAGATATCTTGAAATTGATATTTAAATATATCTTGAAATCGACTTAAAGATATCTTGAAATCGATTTTAAGATATCTTGAAATCTTTCAAGATATCTTGAACACGATTTTAAGATATCTTAAAATGCATTTAAAGATATCTTGAAATAAATTGAGAGATTTCTTAAAATTATTTGGAGATGTCTTAAAATCATTTGGAGATATCTTGAATATGAGCTCAAGATATCTTGACATTGATTTTAAGCTTTCTTGGAATCATTGAAAAGACATCTTAAAAGCCTTTAATCAAAGGCTTTAAGCGTCGAGAGTTTTTCAAGATATCTTGAAATAATTGGAGATATCTTTAAATAAATGAAGATATCTTGAAATAATCACAAGATACCGCTGTAACTTAAATAAATGTCACTTATGCGCGCCATTCTAGTGGGTTTTCCTCAGAGAGCGGAAGATTTGTCAGTCTATCAAAACACATCGTACACGAACTTGTCTTCCCCGTATCGTATCACAATGCAGAACTAAATACTATGACACAGACACATGCATGTATATCGTTTGGTATTATTACCCCGCTCACCGCTCAACCAACGTACTGAGAAGGAAGGAGACATGGTGAATTAATAAAAACATCATAAGCTACCAAGAAGTTGTCAGAACAAAGAAAAACTTACCAAAAATTAAGAGCACACAGACGCATTATAGATAAAAAGTGATCGACCATGCGGTGCATTTAATTCAACAGAAATGATGAGATACAATATGGGCCTGTAACTAGGCTAACGGTAAGCTAACATCTTATTTTCCGTCTGAAACTTTTTGACACACACATCACAAGTTCATGGTTCTTCAGTGGTGTGGACTCTTATACGTGTACATGTATGCATTCTTAAAAAAGGAAATCACGGCTTCAGGTCAATGTGCACTCTCACGTTCATGTCGAAATTAACATCTTTCTAAGGAAAACCTTTGCCACTGTATCATATCGTCTCAGTTTTGTATGAGAACGCTTCGCCTTTACTGTCACAAACATTCTCTTTTATATGGGTCATTCCATGTATTTCAAGAAAACTATTACATGAGAAAACCTTGCAACAAATTTCACAAGGATATTGTTCCTTTTCCGCGTGGACTCTCACACATGTGTGTCGTTTAAGGGCACGCCTGTTGGAGCAGGCCTTGCCGCAAATGTCACAAACAAATGGCTTTCCATTGGTGTGGACCCTTTGATGTTTTCGAAGGTAACTATTATGTGGGAAGGCTTTACCACAGGTGCCACAAATGAAAGGTTTCTCGTTGCTGTGGACGCTCATATGTCGCTGAAGGCCATAACTGAGTGAGAAGGCCTTACCACAAATGTTACAAACAAATGGCTTCTCCTTAGTGTGGACCCTCTCGTGATCTCGAAGGCGACTATAACGTGAGAAGTCCTTGCCACAAGTGTCACAGTTAAATGACTTCTCTTTGCAGTGGACAATCGTATGTCGCTGAAGGCCACGCCTATCGGAGAAGGCCTTGCAGCAAATGTCACAAACAAATAGCTTGTCACTGGCGTGGACCCTTTCATGTTTTCGAAGATAACTATTATGTGGGAAGGCTTTACCACAAGTGCCACAAATAAAAGGTTTCTCGTTGCTGTGGATGCTAACATGTCGCTGAAGGCCATGCCTGAATGAGAAGGCCTTACCACAGATGTTACAAACAAATGGCTTCTCCTTAGTGTGGACCCTTTCATGACCTCGATGGCAACTATAGCGAGAGAAGCCCTTGCCACATGTGCCACAAATAAATGGTTTCTCTTTGCAGTGGACGATTGTATGTCGCTGAAGGCCACGTCTGTTTGAGAAGGCTTTACCACAAACGTCACAAAGAAACGGCTTCTCCTTAGTGTGGACCCTTTCATGTTCTCGCAAGTAACTATTACATGAGAAACCCCTGCCACATGTGCTACAAATAAATGGCTTCTCTTTGCGGTGGACGTTCATATGTAGCTGAAGGCAACGCCTGTTTAAGAAAGCCTTACCACAAATGTCACAAAAATACACTTTGGTATGGACCATTTTGTGTGTTTCAAGGCAACTTTGATTTGGGAAACCCCTTTCACAAATGTCACAAACAAATTTTTTCTCTTTGTGGATGTTCACATGTCGTTGAAACTCAGACCTATAAGAGAAGTCCTTGCCACAAGTATCACATACAAATGACTTATCTATGGTGTGCACCTTTCTGTGCCTGTGAAGAGAACTTTTATCTGAAAAGCCCTTGCCACAATTGCCACAAACAAATGGCTTCTCTTTGGTGTGGATCCTTTTGTGTCTGTGAAGAGAACCGTTTTGTGAGAAGCGCTTGCCACAAATCTCACAAACAAATGGCTTCTCTTTGGTGTGGATCCTTTTGTGTCTGTGAAGAGAACTATTTTGTGAGAAGCCCATGCCACAAACGCCACAAACAAATGGTTTCTCATTGGTGTGGGTCCTTTCATGATTTTGAAGGTAGCATTTGTGGGAGAAGCCCTTGCCACAAATGTCACAAACAAACGGTTTCTCGTTGGCGTGGTTGCTCGTGTGTCGCCGAAGGGTATTACTGCTTGAGAAGCGGTTGCCACAAATGCTACAAACAAATGGCTTCTCTTTAGTGTGGACCCTCATGTCGAAGGGTACCCTGTTTGTAAACACTGCCAGAAATGTCACAAACAAGAGAATTTTTGTATTTTCGTGTTGGTCACCATGTCGTTTAACTTTGTTTACCTTTAATGAATAGGTCAACCAAATGATTTTTTTCTACTTGTGTTGACACTAACGTGTATGTGCCGGAAACCACAGTTGGAAAAGCGTTTGCCACAAAATGTCTTAAGCAAATATCTTCAGACCTTTGAAGCGAACGTCTTCACGTGCTACCACTCCAGTACTGCCTAGTGGCATTAATTACGGATGTCAAAAGCCAAATGCCGTACGATAAGTGTAGACTCTAGTGCTGCAGCAGAAAACAAGCACAACTTCTGTCTGTTACAGCTTCAAGCATGACTTTTCATGTCATCGCCGTGAGCGCCCGTAATGAGAAGCAAGTGCCCGAGAGTGTGGATGATGTCTTCTTGGCGCATAATCATGGACGCGTGCTGTAGATGCTTTCATGCTGGAAGCCTTCCGTTCCCTCAACAATCACAACAGAATTGTAGAGTCGCGGAATGCAGTGTCTTGGTTGACACGTTCATTGACCTCTTGCAACTGTCATAACAAAAACCAGATGTCTGTCAGATGTACAGGTATGGATGTTAACACAAAAATCAGTAGGACAGCAGAAGAAGTTTTATAGTTTCATTCAAAAGACCTTTGAAAGGCTAATAAAAGCAGCTCCTGTCCAAGGAACAATTGATTTTATTTTTCACATGCCTCACAGGTGCCTAAGCAGCAGTACAGCAGGCTGTGCATTCTAAATTACAGTACAAATGGAGCAGACGCCACAACCTTATAGTATTCAATTTCAAACAGGTCTCTGTTGTTACACTGAGAGATGTGAATTGTACTTGTATTCACAAGTTACCATTCGCCTTTAAAAATGTCCCATTTCTGATTTTGAAAAACCATACACATGTTGCATATGGCAATATACACTTACATAAATCCCAATTAATTGTACTGGGATGGTTGCTGCTGTGTGTTCTTTCACTTAAGCTAGTGCTTCAATCTCTGCTTTGATACACAACCAAATCTAACGATTGCAAAACACAGTGCCTTGACATTTCTAATCATGCACACTACGCCCCATGCAAGATGAACTTATTAAACACTTAACATTATCCATGCTTTCCGAGACAACAGAGAGCGTTGTTGCCAAGATGCCATCCAGGTAAGACATGTATAATTCATTGTATAGGCTTTTCTATTAGCATTATGAACCCCTATGCACATAACAATGAAGTAGCAGAAGACAAAATTTAGTTCAGCAAAACCTACAAAACATTCACGAATTTTTTTGTGTTCAAACTTATGTAACGTTGAGGCTTTCTTCCTGGGATGACAACATAGTTTGGCTCATGAATATGGAAATACATGTAATCATTACTATGAAAGCCAAATGGGGAACACATGCCCTTCAAATTAATAAAAACTAAAGTTTAAAATAAGGTTCCCTGCGACACAAAGATGCATTTTGAAGGCTTGTGTAAAAACACATTAATTGCAGCTACCCTTCAAAGTTCCCATACATTTTATATGTGGAATTTTTTTACGGGTCCCTGGCCCGAAAAATGGAACCGGGTTTCCAAATCGACGGGGCTACCAAGGCACCTGGTATTGGCCTATATTCAAGAAACCAGTTTTGTAACAAAATAAACCAATTTTTCAACTTCCATTTTACTGATTAATACCTCTTAATCAATTTTGAAATAAATACTTGAATGCTAAACACTGGATTAAATATCTGAGTACAAGTATTTGGCAAAGCCCAGCCTTTTGAGAACTTACTGCAAGCATTCAACAGCTTTTCAAAACAAGTTCAGGTTTACCTTGGGGGGAGGGAGAGATGCTTGTTAAATCCTAGTGTGCTGAGCCTGGTGAGTGTATCACGTCAGCAAACTACACACTGCACTGTATCTGTAACCAAGTTATAAATGGGCAAAAATCATTAATTTGTTGACATGATATGCTCAAATTGGCTGACCTTTCATATTTATTCCTTTGGGAGAAACCTTCAAACCCAAAGAAAAATGGCAAATGATCCATGAACACAAAGAGGAAGAGAATTTTGCATATATCTAAATTTCCTTCAATGATTTGTTGAATTAAATGTTCAAAATAACCAGAAACTTCAACGCTGAAGTGCACTGTCGGTGTACCGTGGCTAGGATATTGCTGCTCTTCAGCTGTTCAAAGCAATGTTCCTTAATGTGACATCACTTTAAACCACGCCCACATTTATCATCAGTTTGTGCTCTCACATCCCTTGGTCTATGGACTGGGTTCACTCCCAAACATCTAGAACTGTAAGGTGGTTTAGTAATCTAGTATCTCGTTGAAAGGTGGAATTCACAAGGGCATGTATGTATTTTGCACATTTCCACCATGAAAGATTCACAGCTTGTGCTCTTCTCATCATGGTCAGCAGCATACAGTTGGCCAATCACAACCAGCCCCTACTTGTATCTTGCTCTCTTGTCACTTGCAAATGAAAGCCGCACTAAACTGGTCACTGGTATCAAGCCAATCGTAGCATGAATTTCATCGGCCGAAACTCTGTTATAGCAAGTTGTACCAGTCCGTGTCAATCTTTGAGGTTTGTAAAAACCTTACATTTGTGGTAATAACCCCTGGGTCTTTATGGTTCACTCGATTTACATAAATTTACATTTTGAACTTTGAGCCTTAGGTCCATGAATGTTTGCTTCATTGAACTTTGGTTGAACTGGTGTGTGATAACATGTACACATACTGTACCATCTTAAACCCCTCATAAAGTTACCAGAAGTCTTTCTAGAGCTGCCGGTTCAGGCAAAACTCCCCCCATGTCATGTCCCCATTAAGTACATTCAGGGTACTGGACAGGAGCCAGTCTTCCGTTCAAAGGACATGCGCAACTGTATGCAACTCGAATGTGTGGATAATTTGTTGAAGAGAGGCAAGATCGTACATCGCCAAACAGACTGTAGATGGTCCAAAAACCACCATGATCCTGTGTTTAATCACATCTTATTGGCAAGGGTTCCATATATGGACGACAGTAATTTTCCCTTAAAATGTTATAACACTTCCACCTGACTTCAACCATCAGAAATGTCCTAAAAAGTGAAAATTAACTGAGAAAATTCCAAAACATTAAGGCCCTACTTAGCAAACAGGTTTTTTTTCAGACAAGTCTCATTCAGAGGTTTGTACACAAGGGAATCAAGTGTCAAGTGTTGTCGACATCCGTAGGGCTATGTGGAACTCTTTCTTCCATATTCAGGCCTAGGTTTAGCTCTATACTAAGTGGAGCATTAGTATTCCTCTTTTTCGATCCCGTCCAAAATATTAAAAAAAAGGAATACCAACACTCCACTTAGTAGAGCTAGCCTAGGTTATAGTGGGGAAGGCTTGTGGGGGGAAGATTTGATTGAAAAAAGCAGTTTTAGATAAAATAAGCGGGCACATTCAAAATTCCATGGCGTTACAAAGCAATGAAAATTTTGAAATGTGAGGCATATGCCTCACAATTCTAGGCATAATGTTACATGTACTATGTAGAACAAGGCATGATTACAATGATGGTATGTTGATGATGAAGCTGGCTAGTACTCCTACTCAGTACTACTGTCACGCCCCAACTATAGTGGCTGTCCCAACTATAGTTGGGCCAGTCCAAACTGTATTGCTGCAGTTGGGCTGGCCCAACTATTGTTGACCAATTTCTGTAGAATTTTTCTCAACCTTAACCAAAGTTTATGCTTCTTACACTTGACACAATTTATCTAAAATATGGCAACACATCTACATGTATGAAATGACACTTTAAACAGTGAAAATGACTTTGGCACATGCTGGGTACATGCACACTGGACCTCTGAGCTGAAGTTGGGCCGGCCCATCTATAGTTGGGACTGATGTTATAGTTAGGGCATAACACTAGTAGTAGTAGGCCCTATCGTGACCAGCCTATGACTGAGATGTACACATCAGCGGACGCCACTTGCAATGCAAGTTGCATGACTTGACACCCTCCCATAATCAGATAATACCCATTAATCCCCATGAGGCTGGTCTGAAAAGTGTTTTAAGTAAACGACTTAGTTCTTTCATGTGTTTTATTCCTCCATGGTTCTTGCCCCAATAAATTGAACATTTCTGCACATTTTTGTGCTTTCTGAAGGAGGTCAGTGGCGTCATAATGCACGTCCGTAGCCAGTCTATCGTATGGAACTCTCTTCCCGTCTGCCAATTATGACTTACCGTTATTTAACAAGCTATCTCTTGGTATGGTGAGGTGTTGACTGGGGTGTTTCATTTCTCATTCATTAGCGTGGATGTGTCTTGGAGGACATTTTGCTGACCAAACCATCCAGATTAGATACCACAAGTACATGCATCCGACGTACTCCGTAAGCCTAGCAAAAACAGTCACTATAGCGCCACCATGCGATCCCTACTCCGTACAGTACAGTCTGGTAGCATCTAGACTTGTATCAAGTCGGATTTACGTCGCTCTAAGCTTCCCTTAGGCGTAGTCAGCCATATACCGGTACGCACTACGTAACGGGTGCACTGAACCAGTTCAAGCTGCATTGAAAATGGTGCATAATCAACAAAGTTTGGAGCCCTGTGCCGAGCAAATGAAGTCCATGAGGCCCCTCAAACAAAAAACAACATTCTATTTGGTCTTTCAGATTTCGTTTGATTTTCAAGTTTTAGTAGGTTAACCAATTAATTTTTTAATTATCCGCCAAAAATAAACTCACCCCCCAAAAAGTGAATGTTCCCAAGTCTTATCAGCAGCCATTTTTCAAATGACATCCCTCACCTTCCTCTGGCTCTTCTGAAAAACTTTCAATCACATTTTTGTCTGCTTTGTCCCCAGATGGGTGCCCCTGAATCTACAGAGATGATCCTGGGTCATACTGACACAATCCCACAATTTCTTGGCCCAAACAGGAAGGAGAATTTTCCTTGATTTGTGCCAATAACGGTCGCCCCACTCAGCCCCCGCAGCTCGCAATACCCTTATAAGACGCCCTCATTTGATAGCTTTTGTTATACATACAACGTGTGTCATACGTCCCCAGTCAGTAAGTCAAGGTAGAAATTAAGACACAGTCCTACCGTGTATTTCCTGAACTGAACTTGCCTGTGGGCCAAGCTACATCGAAGATAACGTGATCTATTGCAAGCATGCGATACTATACTGCATGTACTGGGTGCGTTTCCTTGACGGCAGAAGCCACTTTAGACTTCATGTATTAAAGCAAACGTCTAAGAACTTATCTCAGTACCATAAATTTTGACACTAGTACATAGATAAACACATGTATTGTTTGGTACTTTATTCGGTTCCCCGCTCAACTTAAATTCTATTATCCAGTCAGAGGACAGGATCATTGGTACAAGTTTACCATCACTGGATTCCATTTACAACGATAGAATGCAAAAACGTGTAAAGTGTATCATGGAAGACGAGTCTCATCCGGCTAGTGACTACTTCACGTTCCTTCCTTCCAATCGACGTTCTAGGACTTTTCGTGGTAGCAAGCGTTTTACACAGAGTTGTTATTCCTCTGCGGTTTGTGCTTACAATTTGTTGTAACTGTAATCTTCCTTGTGTATTTAAGTTGCTAAGTAATTATTCAGTAGGGCCTAATGTGTATTTTTTTAAAGATATTTTTGTATGTGTGTGTGATTCTGAGCTAGGGGAGAAGTGAATTTCCGATGTAAATGGTTTTTAGCCTTTTTCATTGGCTGAAATAAATAAATTTATTTCTTATCTTCTTTCTTCTTATCTTACACGCTGACAAAAACAGGAACTAAAAATTAAACAAAATATCATTTGCAAACAGGAGCGATACGGGAACCAAGAAAAAAAATTATTAGTGTTTTTGAATCCAGTTTAAATACAAAAAAGGGAAAGGAAATTATGCCACTTATTCAAACTTCATACAGATTGAGAGCATGCAGACGCATTACATCGTACACGGTACTCGACCATTAAATGGAAATACACGTAATTAAATAAGGGCCCTGTGATAGTACAGGACACATCATGTGTTCCCCAAAACTTCTTAAATTACCATAAGTCAATGGTTCTGCACTGATTTGGACTCTCATATCCATTTATAATAAGGAAATCCTGGTTGATGGGTGAAAGTGCACTCTCATGAAATTGTAGAGATTAACATTTTCTAAGGAAAGACTTTGCTACATCACATGAACCAAGTTTCGTATGAGAAGGCTTCGCCATCAATATCACAATATCATATCTATTTGTTTCAAGAAAACTGTTAGCAGTACACCTACATGGCAAACACACATGGGAGTCAGCAAGGTAGTTCTTTCCTCACCTTCCACCTCTGTGATCCCTGGCTCGATTCCCGGCCCGGTCCACTTGTGGATTCAGTTTTCAGTCCTTCCCTGACTCCGTTTTACCCAGAATATTCCTCTGGGGTTTTCCTCCCACCTCTAAAACTGTAACTGCTTCTCACTGTCTCCCCTTTACTGGTGTTGGTGAATATGGGTCGTTTGGCGGCTGCCCGAGGCGCCCTTGTATGCCATCGGCCCAACCATGTTTAAATGTATCCATTCTTCCACGCTTAATTTCTTCGTTGTACAGCGCATTTGAACATATCTATATGAAATTTGCGCTTTATAAATCAATAAATTATTACTATTAAGCAAACTTTTGGTGTGGATCCTCATATGTCGTTTAGGGCTACGACTGTGTGACAAGGCCTTCCCACAAATGGCTTCTCTTTGGCGTGAAGCCCCATGTGTGCTTGAACAGAACACTTCTGTGAGAAGCCCTTGCCACAAATGTCACAAACAAATGGTTTCTCTGATGTATGGACACTCTCATGTCGTTGAAGGTGGCTACTACGTGAGAAGCCCTTGCCACAAATGTCACAAACATAAACTTTGGTGTGGGCTCTTTTGTGTGTTTCAAGAGAACTATCATTTGAGAAACCTTTACCGCAGATGTCACAAACAAATGGCTTCTCGTCGGAGTGGAGCTTGATGTGGGTCTCAAGAGAGCTGTTTTGTGAGAAGGATGTGTGGGATCGTTTCAGATTTGAACGGGAGATTTCTCTTTTCTTCCCACGTCTGTGTAAACATTAACAACTATCTTTGGAATCTACAATCCCAAATGAATCCTACAGTGGGCGCATTAGACAGTTTCAGGGTTGTTTGGGGATGAATTCCGAGGATTTCGATTCGGGGTACGACAGTGTACGAGGTGTTTCAAGTGAAATTTGTTATAAGGAAATGGAAGCCTATATGAAGGGCAACTTAATTAACTAATTAATATCGCACGACCACGTCCAACTTCGCAGAGTCCAAGTTAACTCGAACCAATACTGCTTCTAGTCAAAGTACTCTCTTCAATTATGTAAGAGGGCTTTGCACCAGATCTAACGAGAAAGACGGTTTCTTTTTTGTCTGGACCCATTTGAAGCTCGACTGAAGAGGCATCTCCTGTAAATATCACACGAAACTTGTTCGTTTTTGGTGTAGACCCCTCCGCTTTACACACATGGGATAGCATCCCTCTTTTATACGGTAATGCTTTCCCACAAATGCCACAGCTGCACGGTCCCTTTTTGGTATGACTCCATAAATGTATTTGAAGAGAATTAGCACGCGAAAAGCTCTCGCCGCAAATGTCGCAAACAAATGACTTCTCTTTGGTGTGGATGTTCATATGTCGATGAAGGTCATGCCTATATGAAAGGGCCTTACCACATATACCACAAACAAATAGTTTCTCTTTGGTGTGGACCCGTTTGTGCTTTTGAAGAGAACTTTTTCGTGGGAAACCCTTGTCACAAATGTCACAAACAAATGGTTTCTCTTTGGTGTGGCTCCTTTCATGATCTTGAAGGTGACTATTACGTAAGAAAGCCCTACCACAAGTGTCACAAGCAAATGGTTTCCTTGTGGAATGGATGCTCATATGCCGCTGAAAGGTATCTTTTTGTGAAAAGGCCTTGCCACAAATGTCACAAACAAACGTTTTCTGATTATAGTGGACTGTTATTTCATGACGCTGTAGAGAACTTCTACACGAGAAGGCCTTACCACAAATGTCACAAACAAATTGTTTCACATTACAGTGGACCACTATTTCATGACGCTGTTGAGAACTTCTACGTGAGAAGGCCTTGCCACAAATGCCACAAGTAAATGGTTTCTCGTTGGTGTGGCTCCTTTCATGATCTTGAAGGTAACAATTACGTAAGAAGCCCTTACCACAAATATTACAGGCAAGGGGTTTCCCTGAGGAGTGGACGCTCATATGCCGCTGAAAGGTACCTTCGTGTGAGAAGGCCTTGCCACAAATGTCACAAATAAACGTTTTCTCCGTATAGTGGACTGTTATTTCATGACGCTGTAGAGAACTTCTACACGAGAAGGCCTTACCACAAACCACAAACAAATTGTTTCACATTACAGTGGACCACTATTTCATGACGCTGTTGAGAACTTCTACGTGAGAAGGCCTTGTCACAAATGCCACAAGTAAATGGTTTCTCGTTGGTGTGGCTCCTTTCATGATCTTGAAGGTAACTTTTACGTAAGAAGCCCTTACCACAAATATTACAGGCAAGGGGTTTCCTTGAGGAGTGGATGCTCATATGCCGCTGAAAGGTACCTTCGTGTGAGAAGGCCTTGCCACAGATATCACAAACAAATGGTTTCTCGGTGGTGTGGCTCCTTTCATGATCTTGAAGGTGACTATTACGTAAGAAGCCCTCACCACAAATATTACAGGCAAATGGTTTCCCCGTGGAGTGAATGCTCATATGCCGCTGAAAGGTACCTTTGTGTGAGAAGGCCTTGCCACAAATGTCACAAACAAATGCTTTCTCCTTTTTGTGGACCTGTATTTCATGCCGCTGAAGGGAACTTCTACATGAGCAAGCTTTGCCACAAATGCCACAAAAAAATGGTTTCTCCTTTTTGTGGACTGCTATTTCATGACGCTGTTGGGAGCTTCTACGCGAGAAGGCCTTACCACAAATGTCACAAACAAATGGTTTCTCCTTACAATGGACTGCTATTTCATGATGCAGCCGGGAACTTCTACGCGAGAACGCCTTGCCACAAATGTCACAAACAAATGGTTTCTCTTTGGTGTGGCTCCTTTCATGATCTTGAAGGTGACTTTTACGTGAGAGCCCCATGCCACAAGTGTCGCAAACAAATGGCTTCTCTGTGTTCAAGATGTTCATGTTGTACAAGGTTACAGCTGCATGAGAAGGCTTTGTCAGGAATGTCACAAACAAGTGGCTTCTTTCCACTATCGATTTTCATATGTTGTAGAAGGGTACCCCTGTTTGATCTGGCTTTGCCACAAGCGTGAAAAACCAAAATAGTTTCTGATGAGTTAACCACATAGATTCCAACAGGGTGCCTTCACTGCCTACATCAACCAGCAGTTTTCACGTGCGTTTACACTGGAATATACGTAAAGGAAACCACGATCCAGAAAACGTTTGCCACAAAACAATATTCCAAGTAAACGTCTCTTGATGTCTTTTATGCTAATACGTCTTTATGTCCTGGAGTTCTTACAGAAGCTTCCACCATGGATGTCTACAGCAATTGCTCTCTCCTTTGACTCAAATATATAGCTCTGTTAGGGCTTCAAGCATGAATTTGCAGGTCACCCCACATGTTGAGAAACAACTGGCTAAAACTTCGGGTAAAGGAACCAGGATAACGAAGATGTTTGTAGGCTAAGTGTCAAGTTGTTCTGGCTGAAGCATTCCCTGGCCTCTTGAACTGTGTGAATACAAATACAATGATGTCAGAATTGATGGTACATGCATTTTTACACAAAATCGACCGCCGGACCACAGTGGTGTATCTCAATGTGCACCTCATCAGTAGATGGATCAACTCTAGCCCAACTAATTCAGCCAGGATGGTTTTGCATTCTTAGTGCAAGACTAAATTTTTCACTCATCTTGAGCTGACTAATCAGAATACACCCCTAGCTCAAGGTTCTTACATCAACACTCCCCTTCAAAACTTGAAACTCTGAATGGTAGAGATAGACTAAAGAGAGGGCTTGTGATAACATCATGTGGACAGATCTCTTTTGGAACAGGTATACATGTAGTTCTGATGAGAACCGTTGAGTGTGAACTCAACATTTCAATTAGTGTGCTCTGGTCGTCCTCAGGAGTGGAGTGAGGATGACCAGAGCATACTTGTGACATTGAGTACACACTAAACGGTTCTTATAAGAACCATACCTCCTCCACAGAGAACTATCTACATGGTGTTACCGCAAACCTTCTCTATAGTCTAACACTCCCTTTCCAAAGTAAAATACACATCCAGCATAGAGTTCACCGCTCTGTGGGGTCAAGAATGATCAAATTGAGTAAATGCCCATTGGTCATTCCATAAAATATGATGTAATGTTGACTAATGTCATCACTCTACTACATGTACTTCATGGTCTACATGCCAGCAGAGTGAATATGTAATAGAGGTCAAACATTTCCATTGGCGCGGCAACCGGATCACTGCACACTGCAGCAAACATGACAGCTACCTATTTTGGGCTGGTCATCCATTTTGCTGACATAAATTACAGCAAAATTGCTTTAAATATATCTTCAAATGGGATTTGCTGAATGCTAGGCCCTTGTGCTACGTTAGCCAATCAGAATGCTCCATAACTGCAAGTAAACACGAGCAGGTAGTGCAATTATATCACTGATGAATTGTAGCAAATAATGACATTTTTCTTTGGCTAGGTTTCAAGTTCAGGATAAACATTGGGATAGTTTATGTAATGTAGATTTGGAAGAAAATCACAAACCTCCAATTTAAGGCTACCAGATAGGAAAATTAATCTCCAAGAACATCAGTCTTTGGATTACGATCTTGATTGTTAATGACATGGTGTTGGCCTAGGATAGCTAATAAAAGATGTAGTCATTTTGAACTGAAAAAAAAAACTAGCAGCCTTTTTCAATTTCTATACCGTTAGCATCTACATGTATCTTTAAAAAAAAGCCCTCCTCATTCTTAGGTTGCAAAAAAATGGACAATCAACTGATTTTGTTTTTCACTTTGCCTACAAGTGATGTTTTCTTCTTACCAACTTCTGAACATTTGTTATGCCGGCAAGTATTTTGTATAGTTACATGTACATGTATGTATCGTATGCTGTTTGTGACTTGATGAGCAGATGCTAAAGAAAGATTCTGAGAAAGAACTGTACAAACTGATTTTTTTTTTACTGTTTCCCTTCCTCTACAGGTTCACGTATAAAAATGCATGGATTGTTTCCCTAACCCACAATGTATTGAGAATATTAATATTTTAGAAAAAAATAAACAAGAGGCAATACGGGCGTTTCACAATAGTGCGCCTCCAAGAGTTTGCAACACGTTGGCCAATCACAATGCGCGAAATTTGTCGACCCAATGCGCGTTTGGAAAGGGTCAACAAATTTTGCGCGTTGTGATGGGCCAATGCGTTGTGAGCTCTTGGAGGCGCACAATTAAGAATTGCCCGTATTGACCGACAATGAAATTATCGACAATGAAATTATCAGCAAATCAAGCAATATAATGAGCATATCATATAAGGATCAAGAGATCGTGTAGATTGACCAATCATGCCTCAACTACATGTATGTTCCACTCTTTCTCAACTCTATACGAATTTCACCAGCCATGATGATGTAACTCAAGTTTAGTCTAAACTGCTAGATTATTATGGCCAAACTCATTAATAGTTAGTGATCCTCCACGGTTATTTGCACTAATTGGGACCAATAAAGAGACATTTCTTTAAATCACTAATTTGGGACATCTTGTGGACCTATTTTGTATAGAAACAGCTGGCTACATTCAGACCTCAGGTATCACTTGGACTACTATTTTATTCCCAGCGTACCTTTGGCCAAGGGCGAATAATTTTGTTCATGGCGTTCCCTCAGCTTAGGGTCTATGTTAAACTGAAAAGAAAACAGCTTTTCTGGCCGTAATCTTGAATTTTCAGTGAAACATGCGTGGCTACACTATTTCTGAAGGTCACCAGGCAGCGCTACATACGTTTGTCTGATTTTGCAGTATTTTGTATGGCTTGGTGTTCAGTGTAGTACAACCCTACACGATACACGTGTTACAGCCCAACTGCAGTATCTGTCCCAACTAGTTTGGATTGTCCCAACTACATGTATAGTGCTACAGTTGGGCCGGCCCGCCCTCAGACTGGAGGCCAGTCTACTGGACTACCTCCGTATCCTTGGCCCCATGACAGTCCACCCAAAAAGTGGAGACTTTACAAAACGCTTCCTACGAGACCCATTTTTCTCATACAGCTCACTCATCCCATGATTGATGTATCAATAATGGGCGATTTTCTGTGTATTTCTGTCAGTGAAATTTGGGTTTCTACTTTGGTCATCTGAACACAGCCATTCGTTTACTACAGCAATTAATTTTCCATCATTTGACAGGTGGTCAACAGTCGGGATCTGTTTGGTCGGGGAACCGGACAGCATTGAAAACGTAGGTCCCCAGAGCACGATATTAATGTTAAAAGAATGTTAAAACAACAGCGAACCGATAAACCGAAATCATGCAATGTTTGGGATCGAGTGCAAAATCATTGCCAGATGTGTGGCATGTGGCACGCACACCATTCGTCATCCAATCCCGCAATCCTGCACTACACAACAACGAATTTGCAAATCATGAATATGCCCGACAGCTGCTTTTTAAAATGCATTTATCACATTTACAAGGCCTCATTGTGGGTGATACAAAGCCGCTGATAAAAACAGCAGTTGGGATCACAATTATTATGCTGTCTGGTTCCCAAACCAAACAGATCCTGACTGTGAGCTTGCCACCCGCTATACAATCACGAATTAATCAAATAGGGTCTATTGCTGATACAGCATGGGTAATTTTGCACAATGGCAGAAAGGCATTATGGGAAGGAAAAGGGGGCAATGTTGGCTCCTTTTTCCTTCCCACAATGCCTTTCTACCATTATGCAAAATCACTCATGCGGTATTAGCAATAAGGCTTATGGCCGTGTATACTGATACATCAATGATCAGACGGGACATGGGATGAGTGAGCCCATAAAAAAATGGGTCACATACTAAGAAGCATTTTCGCTACAAGTCTCCTCTTTTTGGGTGGACCATCGTGGGGGGTAAGGACATGAAGGATATGGGAGGTAGTCCAGTAAACTGGCCCCAGTCTGGGGCAAAGTGTGTGCATGCAAAAGCATATGACAAAGTCATTTTGTTTACAAATTACATGATGATTTTAAACGTCCATGATGTCAAAATCGCCAAAAAAAAAAGAAAAAAAAAAGAGGGGGAGGCCTATGGCCTAAGCAAGCTAAATGGGGACTGTGAATTGGGGGACCCTGTGCCTATAAAAGAGAAACCGACATCATACATGTTAACTTTGGGATTCCTCTAGGTAGATGACAAGTGAGATCATGCTCGATAACTGTTTGGTTGATGTCGTAAAAAGAGGGCAGGGTTTTGAGTTTTGAGGGAAATTATGAGGGGAAGTTGTGGTGGGTGTTTTAACACAAAAACACAGCATAGCACTGCGTGTTGGAGTCAAATTTGCATGGCTGGTTTGTCAGTCGGAAAGTCACATTTTCTCGCACTTTACAGCGTTGCCTTTGGTTTTGCATAGATAAAATGACAAAAATTGGGGGTCCCCAAATTCACAATCCCTTACCTTAGCTTAACACCCTGACCTAGACCTAAGTTTTGCCGCACTTTGCTTTTTTCCTGTTCAACTTCAAGAATCCAGTCAATCCATGTACATGCATGAATACGAGAAGACATAATCTAAAACCTACAAGTCACTTATTCTGGAGAATTCAGAGGTCTTTGCTCACCTTGACTCTTGACATGCGCGTAGGCAGTAAGGAAAATACTACACGATGTAGGGCCTACATGGCATATACAGAACGTCACGTCCGCAGGGTATATAGTATGCGTCCTTCCTGCACTACAGGTATCATTTTGTACATGGACCTGCGTTTAGCCAACTTGCCTTTGGGCTTGGTCAAGGTTTGATCTCTATGGCAGTGCGCCCTCAATAATCAAAATGGAGAGGCGTATGGTATACGAATTGTGGCCGTCCATAAAGTACGTGCGTACGAAGGGGGCGGGGAGGGGGTACCAGATTGGTGGCGTTGTGTACACCATGCGTACGGGGGGGGGGTGAAGCCAGTGCGTACGCAAATCAAAAATTTGCCTTTAGCGAGTCTTCATCATATTAATACACTTTGTCATAAAAACAAATAGCAGAATCAGCTTTTGTGCGTCGAAAAACCATTTAAACACATTATCCTCAACCATCCACCCAACCAATATCCTCCCGCGCCACCGCCCATTCTAAGTAGGCCTAAACCGCAACATTACTCATGACACAAACACCGTACCGGCAGCGTCTTCTGAAACCGTACAGGTGCCCACACCCGTTGCGAAAATATGATGTAATAGCTAAAATGTGCAACCCTGTAATATTCCCACGGCTGAGTAAAAGTCGACGTCTGATGTTTTTTATTACCTAAACACGTTTTAATACGACACTATTTTTCTAAGGTGCAAGACAGTATTATTTTTCCTTGGTTTATTAAAACATAAAGTGCGAAGTAACATGCATCAGAAACCGGCACCAGGATTAGTTGTTCATTTTTTATTCAACAACACCTTAAGTACCGATAATACGTCATTTAGTCATTTATTTCAGAATTCGGAAGCGACCTGCGAATAACAGTACTACAGTGTGGAATGCGCACGCGTACAGGGAGGGGGTTGGAACCACTGCGTACGCCATGCGTACAGGGGAAGGGGTCTGAAAAGTTGGCATTTCGTTGGCCCCTATCGGAGTCTGGGTGGCGCGCGAAATTCAAGGAACAAACCATTTTTTTATTACGATGGGGCATGAGGACTTCATGGGCGCGTAATGATCTTAGAGCATAGAGGCAAATGATCCCCCTTTCAAATTTGGACTACGGCATGAATTTTCTTTTCCTTGGGAACAATACTTTCTCTTCAGACTTTCTCATAATGAACGGAAATTACTCGAAAGCTAATAAATACCCTATGTGATAACAAATTTGTATCCCCGACTAATTGATTTTTTATTCAGGGCAACAGTAAATAACAGAACCATTTTACTCATTGGTCCCGTCACCTTTTGCTGTTAGTTTCTAATCCAAGCGGTATTGTAGTGCGCTGGAAAAAGACTTAACAGTCGTGATTTTTCCTGTGCGCACGAGATTGCCGTGTCTAAGCCGGTCTCCTTTCGTGCAGTTTAACAGCAGAAACGATTTAATAGGATTTTCTGATGAAAAAAATGAAAAAATTGATAAAATCTGAGAGAAAACAGTTATCAAAGTCGCACCCTTGTACATTTTCAATGGCCCGCTTCTTGCCGCCAAGGCTATTTGTGCGCATGCGTACCCGTGCACAATTATGAGTTTATCAGTGAAAAGGTATTGTCGGCTTAATTTTCCACTACGAACGTGTATGTACTGTACACAATGGGGATGGATAATACATGAGGTTGCCAGTGCGGTGCGGCCAATGACGACCGCCTTGACCAAGGCTGTTCCCTACCCTGACTGCACGTGAAGTACATGTTTACCTGGGTGTTACTTGTATTGTATTACTTACTACGAACGCCCTCTACTTCATGGAGTTTACGCAACATAAATTACAAGATAGTGAAAATGGATCTTTTATCGGTTCTTATTTTTTTTAAAAAGCAGATGACTCAAACATAAAACAAGTCATTGGAGTGAAAGCTGCTGTAAATCGTACACACCGTAATCAGCCAATGTTGTGATATGACTACCAAAAAAACCCTTTTAACGGGAAAGGAAACCATACATGTATTAAAATTATACATTTTTTTCTTAAATTGTTATATGTAGATGACTTACATGTAATGTTTTTGTCTTATATGTCCAGTTATGTCTGTATAGGAGTCCCTACTCGACAAGCCGTGCTTCTTAGTGGTTCCTCCACCTTTGTGGGTGAAAGAAAGTGAAATGAATGAAACCCAAGAAGTGGACTTTAACACATGTACTCATACATATGTACACCAAAAGCACGCTGTGAATCGACAATGCCGTAAACTCCAACTTAAAAAACATCAAGATGACATTTATATCATGTGCTCAATCATAGAATGGATTTACAGTCAAACACAGATAAAAGCACTGTTAATACAAGATCGTGGTTATAACAATTAACAAGGACAATTTAAGGTCTCAAGTCTTTATTAGTTTTCTTTGTTTTGCATTACTGATCATACAAGATAACTATTATAACAAGGAAATTTGGAAAGTTCCAAGGACCTTGAACTAGATAGGTTTGCAGTAGCACCAAAGACCTTGTTATAACAGTGTTAATTACACTTCTATACATTACGAGGGCATTTGATTCTAGTGGAAACGTCTCATGCCTTCGAAAAACATTCTAACATGCATAATTACAAGTCAAAGGTGGTCACTGGTGTGGACTCATATACTCATTTTCATAACACTGTACGAAAAACATGGCTTCTGGCTGGTCAGAGTACTTTCTCACAAAATTGTAGAAAATATCCCAGGGGAAGGGCACTGTAAGTTCCATGAATATTGTTTTGTAAAAGAGCTCTTCTCCAGTGCCCAGGCTTCACCACAAATGTCAAGAATAGAAGTAAATGACTTCTCTTATGTTTGAGCCCATCTGCTGCCCTACTTGACAGGTGTACCCAGCAACCATCACAGGTGACTGCTGGTTGCGTTTTAGCGTGTTCCTCTCACATGGAGGAATATGAAGCGACAGGCTTCTTTTGTGCAAGAATGTCTTGCCACATGAGTCACAACCGTATGGCTTCTCGTTGGTGTGGACCTTTTTATGCGCTTGGAGAGAGCTACTGCGTGACAAGCTCTTGCCACAAATGTCACAAACAAATGGTTTCTCTTCAGTGTGGATTCCTTTGTGTGCTTGAAGATATCTCTTAAATGAGAAGCCCTTGCCACAAATTTCACAAACAAATGGCTTCTCTTTGGTGTTTTTGGTGTGGACTTTTTTATGTATTCGAAGATATCTTTCAAATGTGAAGCCTTTGCCACAAATGTCACAGACATATGGCTTCTCTTTGGTATGGCTTCTCAGATGTCCACGAAGGTCGCTTTTACTTCCAAAGGCCTTGCCACAAATGTCGCATTCAGATGACTTCTCTTTGGTGTGGATTTTCAAGTGTCCAAAAAGGTTATGCTTACTGCCCAAGGCCTCGCCACGAATGTCACTAACAAATGGCTTCACCTTGGTGTGGAACTCTTCGTGATCTTGAAGGTCACCTTTACGTGCGAAATCCTTGCCACAAAAGACACAAACATATGGCCTTTCTTTGGTGTGGATCTTGATGTGGTTTTGTAGAGAAATCTTACGTGAGAATTCCTCGCCACAAATGTCACAAACAGATGGCTTCTCTTTGGTGTGGATCCTCATGTGTCGTTGAAGATAATTGCAGTTCGAAAAGACCCTGCCACAAATGTCACAAACAGACGGTTCATCGTTTTTGTGGACCTCGGTAACATGACGTTGAATGGAACTTCTACATGAGAAGGCCTTGCCACAAGTGCCACAAACAAACCGTTTCTCATTTTCGTGGACCGCGATTACATGACGCTGAAGGGAACCTTTGCGTGAGAAGGCCTTGCCACAAATCTCACAAACAAATGGTTTCTCGTTTGTGTGGGTCCTTTCATGTGCCTGAAGATTACTATTTCGAGAGAAGTCCTTGCCACAAATGTCACAAATGAATGGTTTCTCTGTGGTCTGGACATTCATGTTGTCTGGCTTTTTAATATTGCTGACCTCAGAATGATGGCAGGTTGCATTTAATGTCTACATCTACCAAATTGTCTTTTCACATATGTTGACCCTAGCACATACGTGCAGGAAACCACGATACAGAAAGTCACAAAACAATGTCCCATCCCAAGCAAGCATGTCTTGGTGTCTTTGATGCAAATATGTCTTAATCTTCTACCATTCTGCTACAAGCTTCGACCATGGACGTCAAAAGCAATTTTTATCTCCCACGTGAAAACTCTCATGTTGCAGCACAATACATGTTCTTGTGGAGTAGCTTTTGACTCAAATGCTGTTTGAAAAACCTCAACTGGGTACGGCCTCCAGCGTGAATTTGCAGGTCACCCCACATGTTGAGAAGCAGCTGGCTAAGACGTTGGGAAAAGATGGTCTCTTCTTGGCATGGAACCAGGCTGCTTGCAGGCCAGACGCAATTCACAGAAGCATCAAAGTCGTTTAGGCTGACAAAATCACTGGCATCTTGAACTGTACGAATACAAAATGATGTCAGAAATGATGATACATGCATTTGTACACAAAATCAAACACTGGATCACAGTGTTGTGTCTAAACGTGCACCCCAGTAGCTTTGGATTAAGACTAGCCCGATGAGTACCATCAAAACATAACAGTAACGTAAACACAACGTCAACACATCAAAAATAGTGTAAATCACACTACGAACATCTAACCGTTGAACGATACAATGAACCTCCACTGTTGTTGAACCATACTTCTTTTGTTAGATGTTCGTAGTGTCAGCTAAAGAGGCAGAGAGCTATGATATTTGGGCTGAATGCTGGTTAACTCGTATGCGTGCCAACTCGTGAGCCAACCAACTCGTACGCTGACCAACGCATACACCAAATCATTCCATGAGTACATGTACGACAAGTGCGAGCATCTGTGCCCACTATGCTGTTGCGTTGCTTTTGCCTTTAGTAGCCGCGGGGTGCCCCTCCGTTTGAAATCTGTGAATAATCCCCATTGAGTTTACATAACTATGCAACTGCAACTTTCTTTCTTGTGGTGGCCCCTTGAAAAAATGTGTGCACCCCCCCGGGTGCCTGTCCTGGGACCCTTCCCAGACATTTAGCCCTCTATGATATGTTGGATTTTTTCCCCAAATTGACACCCTATGCTATGATTAAACTTTATCAATGACAAGCTTCCACAGTATACGTAGTATCGTTTACATGAATTTCAATTTTAAACCTTGATGATTTTTTTTGAAATGGATTTAGTGTTTTTTACAATTTTGTAGTCATTAAAAGAGCAGTTTTTAAGATTTCTTCATTCGACTCCAGGGTTCAGACAAAAACAACAGCACGTCACATAGTGCATGCGGTGCATGAGTTGGTTGGCACACAAGTTGATCATTGTATGAGTTGGTTGGTGCAATAAAGGCATGAATAAATGATTACTGGGATAAACAAAAACCCATGAAAAACCTTTAGGGGGGAAGAGGCAAACTCTCGATCCACAGCCTGTTATGTTAGTGTATCATATAATATATTACCCCTTTAAAGTGCAACAGGGTGGTCCAAGCTGTCCTTGAGGCAACGTGGCTGCCGACTTTGTACTTGTTCAGAGGACGCAATTTTTGTGACTGGTTTAAACTGGTAATTTAAAGAGTCTAACTTTTTGTAGTTTAGCCCAAATATCCTTATGATAAATACTTCACAGTCAAATACTGCTTCTTTTAATTCTGAACATTTTTAGAGGTGTTGGTCGACAATGTGTTAACCATATTAGTGTGCGTGTTGACAGTGTGTTGACAGTAATTAGTAAGACCGAGTTTAACAAATTTTTATTTTGGGGTGTATTTTCGGGTATTCAGTATCTTTAGCACCCTTTTCCTATAATCAGACGGAAGCAAAGTCTACCTTTTTGAAAAACTAACCTAGATAAGTTGGTGGTGATGTCCTCTTTCATATCATTATCAGAAAGGAAAAAGGGACGGGCTTTGGATTTGCGAGAAATTATATGGGGTCAAACGGCAGCTTAAATTACGTGCTGAAGAGCCGTGAATGAAGACAAATTAGAGAATGTAGTCTAGTTCCTTGACCTGGGTGAGGTTTTTATTTTTAAAAGAAATTTAGCATATCCCAAATGGATGGGTCAGGTAACAAGACGTGAAACAAAATGACATGATGCGGTCGTCTTTTGCCGAACTTGGTAAACAATTCTGGTTTTCTTGGTTAAATATTGTCAAATGTGCCTAAGTAGAGATACAACTAAAGGACTGGATCCTCAAGGTCTGAATGTCAAATAACTTGAAAAAGTGGACTTCGTTTTCCTCATAGGCAGAGGGAATGAACCCCGGTATAGGACACCAGTGAGTGAGTGTCTGTGATTTTGCACTGTTTTGTCTGGCGTTACAGCATGCAGTGCAACCCTACACAACAAACGAACGCATACAGAAGGCGTCCCGTACACATATTATGTACATTTCGCATCGCTCAAAAAGTGAGTGGCAATTTGGCCGCATTTTGCTTCAAGTACCTGTTAAATGGCACTCTGTAATCCAGACTATGCGATCCATATATACCATGTGTACCTCCATGAATGCGAAACAATACAATTTGGAACCTACATGTCACTAAGTATGGAGAAAATTGACTTCTTACTCACCCGGTACAGTGTACAATAATAAACCGTGCGTCGAGTCTAGCCCAGGCTTTTTGGAGCTACGGCTACGTCTACTGTATTGTCAGCTTGTGCCAGCGAGTATCCCACAGGAGCATAATCCGATCCGTTGGGCGGCTAAGTTTGATCTTACCTTTGTCACGTTCTACATGCAGTGCGCCCTCATACGAATGCTGTTCACGGTGGGTAGAGTTATCCAGGGAGCAAACCCCCTTTTAGTTAAGATGTGGCATAGGTACTTCAGAAATGAGACAAGCATGGGTTCGTCATGCATGTTCTCAGGGGCAATATCCCATCTTAAAGGACAATGGCATGGAGTTTTCTTGGGAACGTTACTTTCTTTTGCAGCCTTCTCATAATGCACGAAACTCCTCGAAATCGAACCGTAATGTTTTCCTGAAAGCTGCAAACATTGTTTTTAAAGGCAAATCGTTGTTGTGATGCCTCAACATCGTAGAAAATGTCGTGCAAATCTTGCAACCTAAAAATTACACATTGACGTCATTAATGAATAATATAATATTGATATTATTTTCAGCAAGAGAATATTTTGAATGCAAACGTGGCACAGTAATGGTAGTGATGGGGTTCAGGGATTTTGTCCTAAATTTACGCGACAGTTCTATTCGTGATGTTCCTTCACAGCTTCTAGCGGGAATACCCTTTCTTAGGAATTTGAGAACTATATTTGTTACCTTGTATGGCCTTTCGGAGGGGCCATTTTTGAGAAGTGAAACAAAATTTTGGGGTTTTACTCACTTAAAAGAAATAATCACACCAAAACCCCTTTTAAAAAACCCTCATGAACTTCCAATTTTTACATCCAATTTTTCACCTTTGATAAACACAATTACATCTTTATTCATTTCTTGAAAACAAAACACCAGAATATTTAACCTATAGCTACACAGTAACGGAGGGGTGCCTTGTCTCACAAAATGTGCAAAACTATGCCGATATCAGGTGTGCCCCAAAATTTCGCAGCTGTTAATCAAAAACAAAAGCAGTAATATTTTGCAGTTGTAAAATCCGTGCATTCACGGACTCTGCATAACAAACAACAGGCCTGATTTGCGCCTCACAATTCGCAACGCAAGCCGGGTGTGTTCAAAGTAATCAAACCATGTAGCCATATTAATATAGGCCTAATTAAAAACAGCTTTTATATAATGCCTCCACATATCCTAGTCGTCTGATTGTTTGGTCGTTGATCACGCGCCATTGAATCAGTTGTTCTATCCTACGGTACCCGTTGAATAGAACTTCATTTCATTTGCGTGGTTCCCGCTCTTAATTCCTGCATTATTCCAAGCAAGAGGAAAATCATTTAGGGACTGGAACCAGTAAAAGATTGTACGATGCATATATCATTGGGTGGCGCTTCTGGCACAAATCTGTTTGGCAAAATGGTGCACGTCAGTACGCGAGGACCGTTTGTTATCCCAATACAAAAGCACCCCCTCATCGGTTAAAAAGAGCGATTCTGATCTATGTGACCATAACGCGTGTATGCCGTCGTCGTTTGTGGGCCAGCAAAGTTCAGTTCGGACCAAAGGAGCCTCTAGTGCTTAAGTAATTCGCCCTCTCTTTGTCACGCTCAAAGCTCACAGGAGTGCTGACGCTGGATTTATACAGGTTCATGCGTTGTATGAAAAAACGAATGTTTCGCGTTTGTGCAATGGTTAGAAAAATTCATTCGGTGACAAATGAAATGTTCCATTCCAGGAAGCGAATTCTAGTCAAAGATACTCATTATTTGCACACTTGGAGTCGAACGCGGCGAAGCCATTAAAAATGTGACCGCCACATGATCCTAATATCTTACTTGAAAGTAAATAACAGCCTCGATCAATCCGTAAATTATTTCTTCCCAGACAGCTATTGTTTTTGAGAAAACAGAAATTTCGTTCCTTATTTTCGGGATGGTCGGCTGACTGTCGTTTAACATCCGCAAGGGCCTATAACGTTGTGTGTCTGCAGATGTCGGGTCTCCATCAATGAACTGTGGTAATAAGAAAAGCCGCTAACACACCGGCAGAAATTCGCAAAATGCATCGCAAACTTAAATTCAAGGAAACCGAGTGCAAGTACAAAATACAGTGGATCAGTTTGAATTTTATTTAGCGAAAGGATTTTCCTTGCGCGAAAACGTTACGTGCTTAACATCTTCCAAAACATAATGGTATCAAATACATGGTTGTTGTTTTCAAGCAGCATAGCTGGAGGATTTTCGTCAACGAAGACTATGATTCTCTACACGTTAAATCTGCTGTGTTTCAAGGTATAATATCCTCTTTGCCCGTTGTTATTTGTAGAATAACGACTAAGAATGTAGTTCAGACTTTTATTGACTGGTAAAATGACGTGAAAGTGGGATTATCGCGCATGCACGCGCGTGTACTTCTCGCGCAATTGTATCACTGCATGAGCTTTTTCCATGAATCCACAATGCTCGCATTGTCTGCATTGTCGAAGAGGCGCACTACCCCGAGGTTACTTCACGGATTACTCATGACCGTCGAAAACTGCTCATTTTTGAAGGGAAAGTGAACCTCCCATGCCTCTCTTCCTCACCCTGACCGCGCGGGTGTTGCTCACTGATACCACGAACGCCCTACAATTCATGGATTTTACGCCAGATAAATTAATTACAAGCTCTTCGATTTAACCGTTGAAAACGCCATTCTGTTTTTCTCTAGTTTTCACGAAGCAGTTGACTCAAAGTTTGAAAGCTGCAGTCAGTAACTTGAAAAATAGTTCGCGATACCCGCTGCTTCATTTGACTCGGACCGGCCAGCCGACCCCGGCAAGCTCGGTGATCGAGTGGTTAAGACATCTGCACTAGTAAGCAGGAGGTCGTGGGTTCGAGTCCCACCCGTGTAAGCTTGTGAGGTTTTTTTCGCAAGCTCTCGGACAAGCACTGAGCATACGGTGCTTATTAATATACGTTGGGTAAGGGCAAACCCGTTATATATAGTCAGTAACTTGCATACGCCGTAATCAGCCAATCGCGTGGCATTATACGACAAAAGCCAAAAAAACCGCCACCTCACTTTCCCAAGTCACTAACGGATTCCAAGAAGTGGACTTTTAATATTGGTAAACCAAAGCACATTGTGAATTAGTGATGCCATAAACTCCAACTTAAAAAAAAAATGAAGACAAAAACTACAATTATTTCAAGTACGGTGCTAAACCATAAAATAGATTTAATTAACTACATGTACATTACGAGGGCCTGTGATTCTCCTGGAGGCGTCCTGTCTTCAAAAACATTCTCACTTGCATGATTACAAGTCAATGGACTAGGTGTGGATTACAGTACGGATTTTCAAAACGCTCCATGATAAACATGACTCTTAGTCAAAGCGCCCTCCCGCGTAATTGTAGAAAATATTCTTGGGAGAGCTCTGTAAGTCACATGAACTCAGTTTTGTTGTAGAAAAGCTCTTTTCAAGTGCCTGAGGAGGTTTCGCCACAAATCTCAAGAATAGAGGTAAATGACTTCTCTTATGTTTGAGCCCATCTGCTGCCCTACTTGACAGGTATACCCAGCAACCATCACCGGTGACTGCTGGTTGCGTTTCAGCGTGTTCCTCGCACATGGCTTCTCTTTAATGTGGACCTTTTCATGATCTTGAAGGCTGCCTTTACGTAAGAAGCCCTTGCCACAAATGTGACAAATAAATTGCTTCTCGCTGGTGTGGATTTTCACATGTACATAATGAGCGCCATCATTTGCAAAAGCCTTGCCGCAAAAGTTACAAACATATGGCTTCTCTTTGGTGTGGATCCTTTTATGTACCGTAAGGTAATTATTACGCGAGAATGCCTTTCCACATACGTCACAAACAAATGGCTTCTCTTTGGTGTGGATCCTGATGTGTGTTTGAAGAGAACTCTTACGTGACAATTCCTTGCCACAAATGTCACAAGAAAATGGCTTCTCTTTGGTGTGGATCCTCATGTGTCGCTCAAAGACACGCCTGTAAGTGAAGGCCTTGACGCAAATGTCACAAACAAATGGCTTCCCTTTGGTGTGCGTGCTCATATGTCGTTCAAGATAATTCCAGCATGTAAAGACCCTATCGCAGATGTCACAAACAAACCGTTTCTCATTTTCGTGGACCGCGATTACATGACGCTGAAGGGAACCTTTGCGTGAGAAGGCCTTGCCACAAATCTCACAAACAAATGGTTTCTCGTTTGTATGGGTCCTTTCATGTGCCTGAAGATTACTATTTCGAGAGAAGTCCTTGCCACAAATGTCACAAATGAATGGTTTCTCTGTGGTCTGGTCATTCATGTTGATTAATGTTAAAGGTTACCGCTGCACGAGAAAGCCTTGCCACAAATGTCACCAAGAAGGCTTCTTAATATTGCTGACCCCAGAATGCTGGCAGGTTGCCTTCAATGTCTACATCCACCAAACTGTCTTTTTACATCACTGTATATTAACCTAGTACATACATGCAGGAAACCACAACACAGAAAGCCACAAAACAATATGTCCCAGGTAAACATGTCTTGGTGTCTTTGATGCAAATACAATGCATGTCTTAAACTTCTACCGTTCTGCTAGAAGCTTCAACCATGGATGTCAAAAGCAATTGTTATCTCCTACGTGAAAACTCCATGATACAGCACAATACATGTTCTCGGCACGGAATCAGGATGCTTGCAGGCCAGATGCAATTCACAGAAGCATCAAAGTCGTTCAGGCTGACACATTCACTGGCATCTTGAACTGTACGAGTACGAAACGATGTCAGAAATGATGATGCATTTGTACACAAAATCAAACGCTGGACCACAGTGGTGTATTTAACCTCAGTATCCATTCAATCTCACAGTCTCACTCTCACATGCCATCTTTAAATTAAAATGATTCTGTTGAACTTTACGTCACTTGACCCTGGCCTGCATACGGCTGTTCCATGTCAAGGACTCTACCACAAAAAAATTTCCTGCACAATCTCTCAGTTGTACATAAGATATGTCTTGACATTTAGCATTAGCAAGCGTCAACACATACAACTGGCATCAACAAAGCGTCAACAACTTGAAAAAAAAATACCCTCTAAGCATTTGAAAGTAGTTTTATCTTAATTTAGAGACTCTTAAGACCTGCCACTGTGTAAAAGAAACACCGAATTCGCTTCCAAATTCATGAAGGAAAACAAAACTTTTTCGCAATGCATGGAGGCTGCCATCTTTCTTCACTCTACCGTCCACGTGAAAACAAGATGGCAGCCGGTCAGGCTGCACAAGCAGGCCCGGATTTGTCCCTCAAATTTCCACCTTCAAATATCATTTTTGATAATATGATACCTTGAATGTGATATGTAGGAGCCTTACTAATATAAAATATAAAATATTTGTATAAAAATGCGTGAATATTTAGTTGACGCTCGTTGATGCTTGTTGATGCTAAATAGCATGACCCAGTGGGGCGGTTCACAGTCACTTCGCCCCATTTCCATGTCGCCGCTAACCACCTCGCCTCTAACCACTTCGCCCCATCCCCACATTGTCCCATCTCCACTTCGCCCTATTTCCACATCGCCCCATTTCCACTTTGCCGTCCGTGCTCGAGTGTGTTACTAGCCTCTTTAAAAAAATGGTCGAGAGGGGAGTTCCACCAACGACATGCAGTTATTATAGAAAACTCTATGGCATTAAATTAATGTCGACTGCATTGTCCATTATGGCGAATTAATACATAGGCCTGTAGTTGAGCTCATGTTTTAAAGGCGACAACGAAACACGAAAAAAACTTTTTTCTAGGCAGTGGATATTAAACCGGCGACGGCAAAAATTCTGTAAAGGTATGCTGCCGGTAGTCCTTTCTGATGTGTCCAAATCCATGGCGTATTTATCGTTAGCAACAAAATGCCTGGAACTATTTACTGGTCTAATACCAATGCTGCAGGCATTTTGTTGCCGACAATAAATAGTCATGAATTTGGACCCATCAGAAAGGACTACTGGCACACTACTGACCACTGCCTTTTTTTCTACCTCACCAATAAAAAATTTTAGGGTCTTGCCAAAAATTTGGGTCTGGCGGTCGGAAAATCGGAAGCATTGTTTTGGCCTTTGAAAGTTGGATTATCTGATCGTTATTTTGGTACCCAAACGTCGATGTTTTTACTTGTTGCATCTAGGCCTATGCCTCTGTTACGCCCCAACTATAGCATCAGTCCCAACTATAGTTGGGCCCGTCCCAACTATAGTTCGGCCCGTCCCAACTATAGTGCTACAGTTGAGCCGGCCCAACTACAGCAGACGGGTCCAGTATGCATGATGTGCCCAGCAGGTGCCAAAGTCATATTGTTTACAAATGTCATGTCATTGGTCATAGGGATAGATGGACAGATAAAGTGCCACATTTTAGATGAATTGTGTCACGTGAGAGACACATTGACTTGGATATTGTTTAGAAAATTTCCACAGACATTAGTCAACAATAGTTGGGCCAGCCCAACTGCATACTACAGTTAGGACTGTCCCAACTATAGTTGGGGCGTAACACCTCTGTTACTGAAGAACAGAATGAACGATAATTAATGGGGCGAAGTGGAAATGGGGCGAAGTGGTTTGGGGCGAAGTGACCACCCAGTGGGCTACTGTACCGTTCATCAACTTCAACTTGTCAGCTTGTACTTGTGTACACTACACTGCAGATAAAATAAATACGGAATTTCTATGCCATATCACCGATTTTCCCCCCTATAATTTCATAAGATACGGTTTGGTATGGGATGGGGGGTCAGTTATATTATGCCATTAAAATGGTGAAATTTATGAGAATGTTCCTTACCCCACACCACGCAACATCCACTCCACGCGGCAGCGGCTCACCGGTCCACCAAGCATGCCAGGTCATGCAGTTGAAAGGTCATCACTTGTCAGCCCTGTGGCAGCTTCACCAATTACAACGTGGCTCCCATTTCTTTCTATTCAGTTTCCTTTCACTCGCGAATGAAAGAAAAAAGAATTTTCTATTGGTTGAATGTTGTATTGATGACGTTCACCAACTGCAGGGTCTCTTAAGCTTATATCATACGTCACGCAGACGGGACGTTTCGTTGACATCGACAACAACACGTTACAAAACTAGACTGATGCAGCTGTGAGCTAGCTACGGCTGCTGATGTCAGCGCTTGCCTCATTAGGCCCTTTTCCAATACTCGACTTAGGCTCCATCTCAGGCTTCGTTCCCAAAACCAATCCCCGATTGCGGGCCTGAAGCGTTTAAATTAAATTAAATTACTGTAATTTCTGGCTCTCTTGCATCTTATTTGATGTTTTGTGGCACTATTAGACTAATTACTGCGCTTACAGCTTCAAAGTCAGCTAGTTAAAAAACAGTTGAAGCCTGAGACGGAGCCGCCGTTGAGTATCGGACGCGGAAAACAGCCTTGATCTTCATGCACGTTCAATTGGCAGTGCGCCCTCATTAGTACAAAACGGCTGGCAGTTTCGAGGAGCAAACCTTTTTTACACGATGCATGGGGCATGAAAACTTCCAAAATATGATAAGTATGGACACCTGATGTTCTTAAGAGGCAACGCCCCCTTTCAGAAGAATAGGGCATGGGTTTCTTCTGGGGGCATTTAACATTACTTTGTCTTGCAACTTCCTCATAATATGTGGAAACTAGTTGAAATCCCGGGACTTTTACTGAAAGGTGCACATTTATCTTTTATTTAGGTGCAAAATTTCTCATTGCTTTTTAAAGGCAAACTAGTGGTGTGATGCCTCAGTGTAATAAATGGAGCCCTGTAAAGTTTACATCCTAAAATGTATTTGTTGATGTCATAAATAAATAATTAACATAATATTAACATTATTTGCGACTGCACAACGAGGAGATGTTGAATGAGAATGCTGATAGCAGCCAAGGGGTATCTGAATTTTTGTCCTGAATTTGCGGGACACTTCTATTTGTTCGATGTCCCTTCACTGCTTCGGGGCGGGGTTACTTTTTTCGGGGCATTTGAGAATAGTTTATGTTATGTAACCCATGGCCTTTCCATTTTAGTGGGGTATATGGCTCAGTGCCGAGGCTTTTCACACCCTTTTTAGATAAATAATCACATTTTCCTCATCATTTTTCAACCCCCCCCCTTTTTGAATGGATCATAGCTTGCAGACTCCCCCAAAATTACTCAAACTAGACTTAATAAAACCCTCTAGTCTGTGTTTCAAATCTATAATAGATTTAGACAGCAACATAATGTTCACACAACAATTTTTTCACTTTTTATAAACACGTTTATTTCTTTTTGCATTTCTCGAAACATAATATAACCAGAATATTTGACTTAAACAGAAAAATGGAGGGATAAAATTTAAATTGTGTTACAAAATTAGGTGTGCCTTAAAACTGCTTTATCTGTTTTAAAAACAGAAATTCAGTAATATATTATACAGTCGTAAAATCCGTGCATTTGCAGCGTCTACATAACGAACGCCCAACATGCATGATGCGCGCGTGCAATTCCCAAGCAATCCGAGCGCGGGAGAAGTAATCAATCCATGGAGCTAGCTGTATAAATATCATTAAATGCTGTGTATAACACCTGCATAATATCCGCGCCATCTGATTGGTGGATAGTTGATTACATGCCATGAAATTAGTCGATCGTTCTATTCAACGATACCCGTTGAATAGAACTTCATTTCACTTGACTGGTTCCCACCACCAATTATTATTCAATTCAAAGAACGCAGAAAGTGATACGGAGACGGGAACCAGTTTAAGATTGCACGGTTCCTTCCACTAGGTGGCGCCTCGGGTACAAATCTGTTTCAAAAAATGGCGGACGTTAGTGCACGAGGACTGTGATAGGAGAGAAAATATCAGAACTCACAGGAGAAGCTGACGCTAGATTTATGCAGGTATTGCATAAACATATAATGAGTGTTTCAAATTCGTGCAAAGGTGAGAGGAATTTCATCCGGTGACAGATCAAAATGTTCCATTCCACGAAGTGATCTGTAGTCACTACTTGCACACTTTGAATCGAACACGCTGCCTATCCTCGTTAGATCCTTAGAACATGCGCAGTGGTCCATGCAATAAAAGACACAACATTGAAATTGGATCTTTATTGCAGTTTACAGCTCCCTGAAACACTCGAAATCCAGCGCAAGCTTACGCAATGGAGACTAGCATTGATGGGTATCTTATTTACGAAGGTGCATTTTGGATAGGTTCACCACTTGCAATGTGAGAGGATGACTCGTGGTTGACCAACGTGCTGCCAATAACATTACATATACAATGTATGTTAATATCTGTTTTTGCTTAAATCATCGTTACAGTCCACCTTCTACGTTCACACAAAAACGAAATTCGTCAATTCCAAAGACAATCGTCCACACAAAAGTCAAAATGCAACAAAAAGTTGAAAGTAAAAAAATGTCGAAAAAATAAACGCAATCTATCCAACGCCTTTCATTAATGTCCCCTTATGTGACAAATTTAAAGGCACACACATTGAACATACGATACACTTCTTGTGTCTGTCACCACACAATTCAGCACCTTAAAGTATGCAGGGTCACAGATATATCCACTCCATTGGCCAGATATCGGCTTCGTCGCTGCACCTGTTATACGTAACTCTTTAGCTTCTGACTTTGGAGGGTTTGGAAAGAAGGTGCACTTCTGGATCAATGATCTGTATGCAGTTTACCAAAGAATCTAATTTTTTTCACTGTTTAGATTGAACATGCTAATGGGCCTACAGTTTCTGTACCGCAGCCCTCGACTTCGGAAACCTCTGGCAACGTTGTAACTGTAAACGCCCCCTGTTGTTCATAAAGTACCAATTAAGAGGGTGCGTCAACTAAAATTAACGTGGTGATACATTAAAACTTCCGGAGACAGTCAACATCCTCCTCCACATGACTGACAAAATAATATAACTAAATTTTATTTACAAGACGACAGTTAAGTAATATCTTTAAAATTTATTTACATAATTACTATCATCCTGTACAAAACTGTGATATCAACCACAAAATGTGGGTTGCAAAAAACGCGCTCCGTCGTTCCTGAGGTGTCTCGTACAAATAAAGGACCAATTAAGGCGTATTGTAGTACAAAATCACAGAAGCGTCTTCGTCTGTTGATGGGACGGAATTACCTGATGAGGGTGTTTGCAAAGATTTATGAGCCTCGAGCTTGACCGAAAGAGGATGCAATTTTCTAGCATAAGAGGCTCCTTTGGTCGGAACTGAACCTCGCTGGTTCAAGAACGATAGGAAATGAACGCGTTACGGCCGCATCGTTACCAACAAAATGAACACTCCTGACCAATATGGCTCTTTTCAGCCGATGAGGGGGTATTTCTGCTCGAGGCGGATACTGCACGAGGTTTAGGTTCAAAGCTTGAGGCTTAAGAAAAAACCGACTCCACACAAATCACGGAAATCAGACTTCACAATTATAAAAATTCGAACTGAACAACTGTGCACAACAAAACAGGAGCACGACAATCATACCAACTAAGCAGAGAAAAATCTAAATACTTGATGGGTGTGGGACTCAACATAGTTAAATTTCGGTCTGTTTTGGAACCTGGAAAACATTATGACGGGCAGAAGAGAGATCTTTTTGAAGTGACACAACACCAAGCTGCTCTGAACGTATAAACACAAACAATAATTTACGGGGACAAGGATATGATGATAATGTCAGTTGAAAATGTCTACAAGATTCGTTTTTAGTACACTGCCGTTGAGGGCGTTAGGGGAGGGTAGACAATCGCCTGCCAGGGTGTGGTTGGGAGAGCGGGCAGGCATGGCCGAGATGGTCAACACCTCGTCGGCCACGGCCGGGGACAGCTCCGATGCGTTCTTGAGCTCGCTGTAAGAGAGCCCCTCCGAGGTATACGAGCCGCTGCCGTCATCCCCGACCGGGGAGCCCATGATGACGGAGCCCTGCTCCGACCCGCTGCTCGTGTCGCAGCCGCCGTGGAGGCTGGGTACGCCGCCCGTGGTGGAAGTGGGGCTGCTGCGGCCGTTGGTGGACGGGGAGGAGACGGAGTTGCCGGGCATCAGCTCGCCCTGCCCGGACGGAGAGCCCACGGACTTGTCACCGCCGCCTTGCTCTTTCTTCAGCAGGCTCCGTCGGTACTTGGCGCGGGCGTTTTGGAACCATACCTATGTCGAGAGAAAGGGACGAATAAGTGACTCTCAAGTCATAGCTGTTCGAGCAAGGTAGAGAATGTGTCCCTCTGAATAGACCTTTATCATGATGCTGGCATGTTTGTCTTGTTCCCTGTAGACCCATTGGCAAAAGTAACGCAACTTCACTTGTTGACAATGAACTCGCGACAACTTGTAATTTTATGGACACAAGATGGCTAAGACATAACTGTACATCCTGCACACGTGCAGTGATAAGTCAAAGGCTGCGGGTACATCTTGTCGCATTGTCGGACCATATCAAACTTAGACCTACGTCAGACAGAGATTTTTATAGGCAGAGTTGCGGCATGAACGTCTCAATTTTTGTATCCAGAATGGTGCATTATGCTTCATTGCACAAGGACAATTGGCACACAAGACGCTGTATGCAGTACTGGGCGCAGTCATAATGAACAGCCATTTGGGTCCCTAAGTCTGAAGTTGGTATTACTCTTTCTATTGACAGCTCTGTCAGGGTTGCAGGCCAGTAAATAGGCCAAAAAAATGCTTGCGCAGGCCAAATCACAATTTGTATGCACTCAAATTCTCTAGGAAATAGAAAATTTGTGTCACATGAACTTAAAGATTTGTAGAAAAGACAGGTTCTGGCGGGCAAAGAGAATACCAGCTTGCGTCTGAGTGAGATTTGGAAGAAATCGGTGCCTGAAAACGGTCTATTTGTCGAGAAGTGTAGGCATCGATATTTCAAAATAGCGAGGGGCTTCACAACTGCATTTTAGGGGTGACATTCCGCGAGAAAATCTTCAAAAGTCGTCGGTTAATGAACGGCAATTTGAAAAGAAAATTAAAAAAATCATTAACTGAGCTTTAATTTGATGTGCTTCTTGAACGCCTGAGAAATTCGTGAGTATTTTTCCTGATTTTTTGAAGTTCAGGTATATATCACTATTGGCTATGGCAGTTTACTTACTGGCCTGCAACCTCAGGGTGCAGTCCACTAATTCAAGCGAGAATTTCTAGCCAGCTCATAATGCATTATTGAATTGACTATATGAACTAAATTGACTATATGGCCCCCAAAATGGTGAGATTGTGTAAATCTTTGCTAGAATCCACTCCCAGGGTCTTTGGGCTTTCATCTGAGAGCAGAATGGCTAAAAAATACTGTTGAAAGATGGTCCTAAGTGCCCGAGAAAGTTGAGGGTTGTCACTTGAAAAATGGCTGGAAGCAGACTTTGAAAAAAATCACTTTTGGGGGGGGTAATTTTGTTTTGAGGGAATAACTCAAAATGTAATCGGTTAACCCACAGAAAATTGAAAAGAAATTGAAAGATTATGGACCATACAATAATTTAACGTGTGTTTCAGATGTCTCAGGGATGTTGGTACGCATATTATTGGGCCCCGAACAATGCTGATTTGACAATGTTTCAATAGGGCCTGAATTAATGAACTACACCCCTCAAAGATTTTGCAGGAGGCCCTCAAGAGTCTGGTGCAAGTGGCCTACCTGCAGCACCCGTTTGGTCAGCCCCGTCTTCTGAGCCAGCTGTTTTAAGTCTTTTGCGTCTGGATTGTGGTTCAGACTGAAGTAGGACTTCATCGTCCGCAGCTGATGGTGCTTGAAGCTGGTGCGCATGCGCTTTGTCCTCTGCGATTGCTGGGTCACGTAGCCGTCCCCGTCCAATCCAAGATGGCCGTCCACGCTTCCCAAACCTTCAGATAAAATACGAGTGGAAATCATTATGGGGTATGCTGTCGACAGCTTGTTATCAACAAAGTCGATATAACCTGAGGGTACTTCCACAGATTGAATTTGGATATCGAAAATGTGGATTGGCTGGAAGATATTCATTCTTGGAATAATGTCAAGTTTTTGAGGCCATGGCGATGAATCGGACTGCAATTGGGTAAAAGCACCAAATCATGCGAAATGGCCAAAGCCCCTAGCTCGTGGCTTCCATTGAGGCATGTGTTACAATAACCACAGCCATACACAACTTTAAGGCGAGGCTTAGTGGAGACTGGGTAGAAGTCACTGGTGCCCGCACTTCAAAATAGCAAACTGCATTCAAATTAACTCGGGAACGGCGGCTCCCACCGAGCCAGTAAGCTTTTTGCGAGTTACATTTGAATTAAATCTGGTACACTGAGTTCGTTAATATTCATGCGAATATAACAATTTGAATTCTCCACACTAAAAGACGCTGTTGCTGTACTTCGTGATTCGGGGCAAGCTTTTGCTTAGTAACATTGGAGACGTCTTGCACCAATACGTGTACATGCACATTGTCTTCAATAGATAAGAACGGCACACAGGAACCAGCCCACTCCTGAGATTGTGGTAGCTATGCAAAAGCTTGCCCCGAATCACGAGGTATAGCAACAGTGTTTAATGGGGAATTCAAATTGTTATGTTTATGTGCGATCAGATATCTCAGTGTAATAGATTTTATTCAAATTTAAATCGCAAAAGACTTATACACCGTTGCATTGAAAGAAAACGAAGCTTTGATAACTGCAACAAGCGTTATTAAGCTGCAGGGAATCGGGACTCTAAATTGGAGTCGACCTTTCAATACAGATGGACTCGCTCTGGAGCTCGTGTGTGTGTGACTACGGACTGAACCCGTCCAATTTCCGTTTTCACTTAGTTTCCCGTAGTTTCGCAGCATGCTCCCTTGGTCACGTTCAAGGCAAAAAAGTGGGGGCCATTTTGAGAGGATAAAAATAATAAAGGATGACAGATTCTGTACCATACTGACTTTCGTGCAGGCGAAATTGCACACTGCATATTTTATTGATTAGAATTAATGGCTTTTTGTGGGCCACCCTAGGCTCCCCGATCGGAGACAGCAGGAAAAAAATCTGCCAGGCCTCCGCGTCCAAGCCTCTGTCACCTGCCCCTAAAGACCGGCCATTCAGCTACTGGGCAAAGTCAAATGGGACAGGGCAAGCGTGTGCAATGTGTATTCGGGCCTTTCAGTTCCCCCAATCGGGCGTGTAATTCCGCGTGTCGCCACCTTCGCGTTCGAAAAGAAAGGCCACGGGACTAAACGTCCGAATTGCCGGCCCAAACGACCGTAAAAGCCGCCGCACGGGCAAAACAGGATCCAGGGTGCCCGGCCTGAACTAACAATGGCCGAAGACGGGACGATCGAGTTGTAAACACCGGGCCTAACTGAAAAAATGCCGAATGGCATGTATGAGGGCACGAGTAAACGTCCGAGATCTGATGTCGTTGAACTCAGCAAGGCTTTGTCCAGAGTAAAACCAGCAGAAAATATTGGCGTATTTTTGCGAGGTATTGTGATGCCGCTGTCCTTTTATGCGACCATCACATTTGGTCCGAGATTTCCGCCGGCGGTTTTCCCCCTCCAAATTCCTCTTCTTGGCGTCGGACAAGACGGCACCTTTAGCTGCAGTTACCATCGATTACGATAATAAATTTGGGCTTAAATCCTGTATCCCCTCCCTAAAAATGCTTTGTTAAAACTGACAACGAAACCAACGAAACGCTGTAGAGACGGGGTCCAGACGATATTATTAAAGTTAAACGGTAGTGAATGTGGAGAACTTTGAGAGGGTAAAACGTGAGAGCGAGGATGGCTTAATATCTGAAGATGGACCGTAAAAGTCCGTGCGCATACCAACATTAATGGCAGTACCATGTCCATGTAATTTTACAAGTTTGCGTAACCAATCGTCTCATTCCAATAATTGCTGTGCCGAGTGGCCGTTGGCCGACAAGCGAGATTTAAGCTGGAGAAGGTTGACAGTGGTTAGTAGAACTCGGTAATTTCACCCTTTTTTTTCCAAAGTCGGTATTTTAAATCGGTATCTAAGGTGACCATTGCTTGGTTTACCAGCACCCTTCGGTTGCAAACCCATTTGGGCCCGCGTTTCGGCTCTGATGTCTCACTGAAGGTCACAGAGAGACAAGCTCCAAACCGCACTGGCACCAAGCCCACTCGAGAAAGACAAATACCTCCAACGACTTATGACGTCTTACTCCAAGCAGCGGAGTGTCAAAATAGCCCGCGGTACCACTTCAGCGCCGACAACAGAACGAGGTGGTAAGTGATGGACGATTAAGCCTGTGCCTGACATTTATTTTGAGGAGACTTGACATTTTTTGTTTCACAAAGTGACAGCAAGGCCAATGCACACTTCAGACCCGATTCTCCGAGACTAGATTATCTTCCCCGGTTCTCTCCTCTCCTTTCACCCTTCCGTCGAAATCCTTTCCTTTGGCGGTGCCGTTCCATCGAAGAGATTATTGGTGGCGTTGTTTTGGAGGAGCAGACACGCCGCTGCTGGCGCTGTTTTGATGTCAGAGACAAAATGGTTGGCGTCATTGTTTTGGGTTGTAACAAACAGACACTGGTGGCGCTTTTCTGAAGAACACCACCAAAACTTCGCTTTAAGGGCGCTAGAAGGGCAAATGTCTGTCACAAATACGTTACAGATACCGATGCGCAAATTAAAGCATTGTGAATAATACCGACGTTTCACAATAGCGCTCCTCCATGAGTTTGCAATGCGTTGACCAATCACAATGAGCGAAATCTGTCAACCCAATGCGCGTTTGGAGAGGGTCGACAGATTTCGCGCTTTGTGATTGGCCAACACGTTGCGACTCTTGGAGGTGCGGTATTGCGAATCGCTCATATTTTTGTCCTAATTTACGCATGCACGTACATGCAGGGCACGAGTGTCATGCGCACGCAAACGTGTTGACACGTGCTGTATGTTGTTCTAGTAACTCTATCCAATGAGTGCTCGACAACTTACGTCATTCATTTGCCCTCCCCAGCACCCTGTGAAGTTGGTAGGCATGAGCGACCACCAAAACTATGTGATCGAGTTCTTTCTCATTAGCTTGTGGGAAATCCGGAGCGAGACCTCTTCCCACAGTGTCCATCGGAACCGTCAGCAGTTCCTGGCGACAGCCGTTCGTGATTGAGAAGACGCTTTTTCTCGGCGAGACAATGACTGAGCACGGATAATAGACAACATGTGCCTCAGAGATGAACCAAGGGCAGAGACAAGCATTTTCAGTTGGGCCTATTAATGTTTACAGCATGACAAAACTTAAATTGTTTCCGACAACAAACATTGATCGTTTGCGGCACCGTAATTCCAGGGATAATTGGAACAAGCCTTGCTGGCAAGAGCTGTCATCTTGAACTAGTTCTAGCCAAGATAGCTTCCGGAATAAATATGAGAAACATGGACTTTAAAGTAAAAAGAAGACATTAAGATAAACACAAGTGTACTTTAATCGTCTTTGCTAGCTTGAAGTCACGAGAGTACTTGGCATGACTTCTGTCACAGTGCCCCAATCCCACTTTCCCAAAAACTTTCTTCACAAATCAGTTGTAATTTTGTGTCCAACTATTGACAAAAGTTTTGCCAACGAACCAACCCGACGTATCAGACAAATACAAGGATATCCCGTCTAATCCAGATTCTTTCCCTCGCCTGTTTTCAAATTAATTAGACAACTCACATAGCGCACCGTTGGCGCTCTTAACCAATACCAAATATCTTAACAGTTCACAACAGGAATGGTGAATGAGATCACGATGTAATCGCGCGGGACACGAGACTGCTCTTAATTTCAAAATGCATTCTTTATGGGCACCATAATGAATACACGCTGTTTCAAACCAGGTTCATATTTTTGACATTTTTACAAAGCTCGACAAATGTTTCATGTCTATATGTGCAAAACCATGCCAGCTAAACGTTCCGATTAGAATATTTTCAAACGACGGAAAATTTTCACAGATCTTTGCTGCAGCAGTTTGATCACTTATGGACTGATATTTTCTGCCCACTCTCAAATTATCTGGCGATTAAATTTCAATTTTTTTTCCCTCGGTCATGAAACAGCCGTGTAAGCTCAAACGACAAACTCTTCCAACCTGTCGTCTCAGAGAGCAGGTTGTTCGTTTTCGGCGAGAGGGGAAAGGTCTCGATTTGCCGGAGCCACGTAGCTGGTGCCGGCGGCAGGCTTGGCCGACAGGAGCCCTGGACCGGTACGGTGGTCCTTGAGTGGTCAACTCTCATCGGAAGAGAGTGACTTCGACGAGCAATTGGGCCTTTCCCCCTTGAAGTGGGACAAGGATAATTTGTCGTCCACACTATACGGAGACAATGCATCTGGAGTGGCTCCCCCCCCCCAGCTATACATGTAGAATGTACACTAGAGTTTTGAGTGTTGTAAAGTTGTTGGGCGTTGGTACATAGCCACATTATTTGACTGTTCAGGTTATTGGGCACCCCCTTTTCTTAATATTTGACTTGTCCAAAGGTCATGTGTCAAAATATCATGTGCAATGTGGGCCCCAGGGTGCACCCTTGTATTTAGACCAGAAATATGTCCGCCGAGCTCATTAATTAAAGTTATACACTCAAAATATTCTACATTAGAGGGTCCCGAGAGCCATGGAAGTGGGGAGTTGAAGAAATATGGCACTGAACCTCTGGGCCGGACTCGGGGCTTCCAATTCTGAGCAATTTGGATGCAATCGGGTCCAAAAGTGGCACTATTTGAGCCATATTGCAGAGGGGTGCATTTTCAAAACGGCTACTTTCCCAGGTAATG